TCGGGTCTGGATTGCGAGCTCCTTGCCACCCGCCAAGCGCTCCTGGGCTCGGTTGGTCGAGAGCGCAATGGCTGCCCCTGGACCCGGGGTCGAGCGGCGGCGGGACTGGGCAGTGACAGAACGCATTTCGGAAGATCGAGGGCATTAATGGGAGTTGTCGTTGCTGCCCAGCGTCGCTGGAATTCAGGGCGGCCTCAGATTGGGCCGGGGGGTGGGGAGAAGAACACTTGGGGGTAGACCGGACTGTCTCGAATTTAAACGTTAAAGGATGAATTAAAATGCTAATTACCGAGTATTTGAAGAATTCGAAACGGTGACTGGCTTCTTCTGAGTTGCAAATTGGATTTGCGGAGCTTTAGTGCCCTGCCTGGCAGCGCGGGGGCTCCGGAGTGATTTTTCAACCATATCAAGGGGGTGGGGGCAGGGGGAGGCTGCAGCTCTGGAAAGGTCGGTGGAAAATTGAGCAACTACCTGTAGGCGAGACGCGCGCACTGGTCAGGGTGAGCGGGGGTGGAGGGGGTTAGGTCATTTTATGAAAGTGAAATCGTTTAAGAGTGGAACGAGAGCACCTTTCCGTTCCAAGGCTGGCCCCGAAGGACCTACTGTGGTCTTTCGTTTAGTTCCGGTTTGCGGGGCCGCTGTTTTGCCTTGGGGAGGGCTGCGCCAGCGTGGGAAAGGGGGGGGCGGGCAGCCGAGGGTCAGCACGCGCCCCCCTCACCTAACTCTGTTGACTGCAGGGCGCGCCCTATGACGCGCACACGACCGGGATGACCGGTGCCCTCAGCTACCACCCGTATGGCAGCGCGGCCTACCCGTATCAACTCAATGACCCGGCCTACCGCAAGAACGCCACGCGGGACGCCACGGCCACGCTCAAGGCTTGGCTGAACGAGCACCGCAAGAACCCCTACCCCACCAAGGGCGAGAAGATCATGCTGGCCATCATCACCAAGATGACCCTCACGCAGGTCTCCACCTGGTTCGCCAACGCGCGCCGGCGCCTCAAGAAGGAGAACAAGATGACGTGGGCCCCGCGGAACAAAAGCGAGGACGAGGATGAGGAGGAGGGCGACGCGGCCCGCAGCAAGGAGGAGGGTGCAGACAAGGCGCAGGAGGGCACGGAGATGTCCGCGGAGGACGAAGGTGAGTGAGGTCAAGTCTGGCTGGGTTCTGGGGAACTTACTTCGCAGGCCCGGGGGTGAGCTCCCAATACCCAGGCCTGGCCTGTGCTCAGGCTCTGGGAGCCCTGCTACTGGTGGGGCGCTTCCCAGGGAAGTCTCGCGTCCCTCCAACACGTGGTGGGCACTGGGGCAAGGTCAGGGGTCGCGGAGGGGCCTCGGGTGCCCGAGTTGTCCCCGCGAGTCATCCATCGTGCCCGCGCCCCCGCAGGGATCAGCCTGCACGTCGACTCGCTCACAGATCACTCCTGCTCGGCGGAGTCGGACGGGGAGAAGCTGCCTTGCCGCGCAGGCGACCCTCTGTGCGAATCGGGCTCTGAGTGCAAGGACAAGTACGACGACCTGGAGGAGGAAGAGGAGGAAGAGGAGGAGGGCGAGAGGGACCTAGCGCCACCCAAGCCCGCGACCTCGTCACCGTTGACCGGGGTGGAAGCGCCGCTGCTGAGCCCCCACTCCGAGGCCGCGCCCCGCGCTGGCGGCAAGGCGCCCCTGGGCAGCCGGACGTCGCCAGGAGCGCCGCCGCCCGCCAGTAAACCAAAGCTGTGGTCGCTGGCGGAGATCGCCACGTCGGACCTCAAACAGCCTAGCTTGGGCCCAAGCTGCGGGCCGCCTACGCTGCCCTCGGCCGTGGCGCCTGCCTCGTCCGGGGCTCCGCCAGGTGGCTCGCCCTACTCTGCCTCGCCGCTGCTCGGCCGCCACCTCTACTACACGTCGCCCTTCTATGGCAACTACACAAACTACGGGAACTTGAACGCGGCGCTGCAAAGCCAGGGCCTCCTGCGCTACAACTCGGCGGCAACGGCCCCTGGCGAGGCGCTGCACGCCGCCCCCAAGGCGGGCAGCGACGCGGGCAAGGCGGGAACACACCCGCTGGAGGCCCACTACCGGCCCCAAGGCGGCGGCTACGAGCCCAAGAAAGGTAGGCAGCCCGGGCCCCCCGGGGTCCTCGGGGAAGGCCAGCTTGCTGCATCCCTAGTGAGAATCCGGGAGGGGGACATGTACAGGGCAAAGGAGCCTGTGGCCCTTCCATGCCAAAAGGAAAAGATCTATCTAGAGAGGAAAAGCCCAGCATTTGATTTCGGGGTGTGGGGAGGTGGAAGGGGGTGACGCCAAAAGGGAGGCCGGGAGATGGTTCTGACTTCTTTCGGGAAGCAAACAGCACCCCGTTATTATTTTCTCCGTGTTTCACTTCTGGTTGAGAGGGCAATTACCGCCGCCCGGGCGATTGTCCCCGGGATGAATTTGACTTGTAGGCGACCATAAGTGGCCACCACATGCGATTTACAGCCGGTATCCCTGCCTGCTATGTTTAAGGGCTTAAGATGGTACCCCGTTTTGTTGTTTTGTTGGTCAGGTAGACTCCCAGCTAAGTCCCCTTTGGCTGGCAGGAAAGGAAACCTTCTAGTTGTTCCCAGGGGCATGCCTGGTCTTCACCTGATAGAGACCCACAGTTGGGCTTTCTCTGCTCCTTCGCTCCTTGTTGCTGTGGCTTGCAGAAATCAGGTTAGAGCTGAGAACGCCCTAAAAGGAAAAAGAAGAGGGGAAATAAGAAATTGCAGGAATCGGTCCGCAAAGAGGGTGTTGGGGAAGGTCTGTTTGTGCAGTCTGTCTGTCTGTCTGTCTGGGCAGGGAGTGGGCTGGTGTGTGCTTGGCTTGGAGACAGCTTGCTCTGGTGGGTTCTAACTGCACCCCCTCCCCTGACAGATGCCAGCGAGGGCTGCATGGTTGACGGGGGTGGCCAGTCCTACCTATAGAAGGCCCCTGCGCAGCAATAAAAGTAAGTGGGCACCTGGTGACTTGCAGGCGCAGTTGCGTGGAAACTTGCTCTATGTGTATCTCCTGCTTTGGGCTCCTTAGGCTGGAGAACAGAGCTCTACCATCTTCCTACTCTGGTTTTCCCGGAAGGGAAGGAGCAGAGAACCTCCATTCTAATCGTCCAGTGTCTCTCCAGTTTGTGCAGGTTCACGCTTTAATTGAAATAGATGACCCGTAGTGCTGCTGTGTCCTCTTGGACAGAAAAGAATGGAAAAGAAAAATTAGAGAAAACAACCTGGACATTTATTGGCAATTTAGAACTTTTATTTTTCTTTCTGGTGAGCTACTGTTAGAAAAACTCTGGCTGTCAAGACCCCTAGTCATGAAGGCTGCAGAGTCAGATGGGGCCTTAGTCTTCAAAACTAGTTTTCAAATGATTATTATCAGGCTCAATGCTGGGAGCCCAGACGGACTGTCTAGGACCCTGCCCCTAGGTGGCCTGGCTGAAAGCAGTGTCTCCCTAGGTAGGTTCCTTTGCAAGGAGACAGGATGACAAATCACAGATTTTGAAGATGGAAAGGAAGCCCCCTGATCCTGTGGGTTGTTATTTCTTTAATGATAGTCATAATGTGCTGTTGGTGGCGGTGCTTCCAAAAGGAAGGATTTGGGATGATTTGTTTTGTTTTCCCTTGGTCCACAGGTAGGTGTCACAATTGCTTTGAGAAATAAATAAATAAGTTACACACACACACACACACACACACAAATAAGCCAGCTTCCCAAGGTAATAAGTATATACAGATAGAAAAGCCAGATCCAGATTCCCAACCCCGGATGATTGCATCTTGTGCCAGAGTCAATGAGAAGACACCAAGATTGCCACCAGGCCACTAGTTGACTAGAATTGACTTTTCTTGGACGTATGTGACTTTGTGGGCCTCGTCTAGCTTCTCCTATGTAAGTGTGACTTTTGCAAACAAATCGATCCGCCCTCTTACCCCCACCCCGGCCCCACTTCCCCTCAGGATATATTCATCGCCACAGTATATATTCGATAGGTGTGATAGGGTTGACTTGTACAATTTCTTTGTAAAAGCTGTACACAATAGAAATAATAAAATGTGATTGAAGAACTTGAGTACTTAAGAAGTGGAGACAAATTTGATATTTATTTTTATAATGATATAAAGCTTCTAGTAATTTATGCAAGTTGTATTGCAATGGAATCTAAACTCTTTTTTTGTAAATAAATCCTGCCTGGTTTTTATTTGAACACTGCTGGTTATACAATCTTTGTTGGTTGTTTAACAAGGATTCTTTACTAATTTATATCTTTGATTGTAAATAAAAACAGACTAGTCTACAACACTACTGCGTTTGGAGCTGGTTTTTTTGTTGTTGTTGTTTTGTTTTGTTTGATTTTGTATTCCCAGAAGAGGGACTTGGGTAGGGAGCCCTCATTGTAATTCCACGGGTGGTGGGATGGGGCCTCAGGTTCTCCTATGAAACTCACAAAAAGAGCCAATGATTGCTCCTTCCTCCTTCTCATCCAGGGTAAAAATGCCTTCCAATCCAAAACATTTGAATGCAAATGCCTGTCCAGAAAAACAGTGTTTTCCAGGCTCTGGATATGCAAAGCACTTGTAAATGTAAATAAAAGCCTGAGGGTAATCCAATGAAGTTGACACCCCTCTGGGTTAGGGTAGGGTCCTTTTTCTATTTCCACTGGACGCTGGTGATTTAAACCACTTTGATGTAGACTCAACTGAAAGGCTCCTGATAGCTGGGATGAGGGGCACGCATCTTCCCAGTGCGCTGTAAAGGACTGCTGGAGAGTGGGGGTTTGGTTTGTTTGTTTGTTTTCATCTTGAATTAGCCAAATCGGCATGGATTATTCAAACATAGAGAATAGTTTTTTAATTCACCTTTTCTTACAACTCTCATCCTATTCCAGATGAAATTCTTGAGGGGGTGGGTAGGAAGTAGTGTGTGTGTGTGTGTGTGTGTGTGTGTGTGTGTGTGTGTGTGTGTGTAAACCTGTATTTTTGTCTTCCAGGTGACTTGTTCCCTTGCCCTTGGGGCTTAAGAAAAGTTTAAACCACCTTCCACTCAGGCCTCTTTATTGCGTTACGTTACTCACTTTCTAATTACAGGACACGTCGGAAATTTGTAGTCAAGTAACCGTCTCCCTTTGATTCCAATCGTAAATGCAACAGTCCCGTCATTTAAATTTTCAGCACCATTATGTGGCTATCCATATCGTACAATTTCAGGAAAGAAACACGCACTCATTTATTTCCTTTGCAAAGATAAATTGAGTGAATATAACTTACGGTTATAAAACAAGAATAATAGCTTCTCAGATTGCCCTTTAATCAATCATACACTTATTTTTCAAGAGGCTCATCTATTTTATTCCGTGATTAATAACGGTGCCACATGAGAGCATTATTGGATCCCAGCGGGGGGTGGGGGGCAGATCCTGGATGCTTTTAGCTGCTCTAGAATGGTCAGTTGGGGTTCATTATGGCCTGATATTGAACAATTTATAAAATCTTGTCTAAACATCTGCCAGCTCCAATCAGCCTATGTGTCTGAGGTCCTGGGCCAGTTGATATTGAGAAACGGATCTCTCTCGGGTGGTTTTTTTGTGCTGTGGGAATGAGTGGCCTTTTGCTGGGGTCTTGTGAGAAAGGGCAGTTGAAAGTCCTCTTAAGGTACTTGGGAACGAGACCACTCACGGGACACTGAGCCAGGCAGGTGGGAAGGGGGATCTGCGGTTGATTCCTTCATGCAAAGAACAGGGGTAAAAAGGTTTGCCAAAGGTTTTGGTTTTACTCCTACTTCATACGGTTTTTTTTTTTTGTTTTGCTTTTGAGCCCAAGAACACTTGGAGATCAGGCATAACAATCTTGGCAGTGAGGATATCTTTTTTTCCCCTCTCCAGCCCTGCCTCCCTTAGTTTGAGAAAGGGAAGCTGAGCTAGCCACCGATGGATGGAGAGGACAGAATTTTCCTTGGGGTGAAGTGGGGGGTAGGGGGGTGGAGGCTGCATCTCTTTACTAGTGTGTCTGAAACAATCCAACTCCAGGATGCAGTGAAGTGAAAAAACAAAGCAAAACAAAAACTAGCTCTCGGCGTGATTGCTTGTTTGCACTTGAGGTGTAAAAGCGCCGCAGAATTTCTGTAAAGAGACTAGCACCCCACCCCAAAGGATTTCGGATTGCCACGGGAAGAGTTTCGGTTCTTGACTCGGCCTAACGTTAGCCCCTTTGCAGGACACAGCTGGCAGCCACATCGCCCTCAGCTCCAATATTCTCACCTTCATGGGGTTTTTGTTTTGCCTTTTGAGGACTTCAGTGAAAATTGTCAGAATTAACAATCTTTAACAAATTAAAACCCAAAGCAAAACAAAAAAACCGAGACCATGGAGTGTGATCGAGATACATTTGTGGGCGATGGGCCCCTAGAGGGAAGTTTGCAATGTGGGGTGATAAACCCCAGCCGCAAAGAAATCTTTCCGCAGATGTTCTTTCAGAAGTTAAAGGCCCTTCAAAGCTGCTTCCTTTTGGGGGGGGGGGGTATTGTTTTTCCTGGACACATGATCCACATCCCCTTGGCCCCCAAACACTCTCTCTCTCTCTCTCTCTCCTGGTCGGTATGCGCATGCCACCTCAATGCACGTTTCAACTCAAGAGCAACTCAGGAAATTAACCCAGGTGGACAGACACCTCCTCTTTGATGAGTCAGCCAGGTCGCCACAACTGACACCCCTCCCTGCTTCTGCCTCTCTCTGTGGAGGAACACTTGATTTTTAAAAATAAGGCTCCAAGCATCTAAAACCGGCCAATGTTTTCCGCGATCATTTTAGGGAACCACGGAGGGACAGAGACGTTCTTAGAAAAGACGAGTTGAGGGAGAGAGGAAGGGGTGTGAGAGGTCTGCTTTTCTTTACGAAGGGAAGTTAAAGGGTTTGGAGAGACTTTTGTTTTTGCTTTAAAAGGGAGGTAAAGGCAAAGGAGCAGCAGGCAGGATCCACGTCCTCCGGGGTGAGTGACGCGGTCGAGGCGCCCGGAGGCGCTGGAGCGCGTTTCCTGGGCCTGGGCTGCAGCGCTGCGGAGACAAGAGACCTACCTCTAGGCTCCATGCGGCGCTCCGGGTCGGGGGGCCCAGCGCCGCCCTCGGTTTCCCGAGAGCCGGGCCATCGGAGTTTGAGCTTTAATCTCAGGTGAGCCCCGGGGGGCGGGCGCTGCCGCTGGCAGCCCCAGGGGCTCTGGCCAGGCGGCTGGCCAAGCGCTACCTCCCGGGCCCATCAAATGTCAACATTTGTTTCCAATAAAAGAGTTATTGTTTCTGCAACTGATTTTGAAACTTGAAAAGAACTTCGTTCACTTTTATCAGGCCAGGGGCAGGAGCGGCGAGCAGAGGCCAGGCTCGGGGTCCGCGGGCCGCGCGTGCTCCTTTTCCGGGCGCTAGTCCAGCCGGTATTCGCCGTCTTGGGGCGCTGGGAGTAGCTGCGGAGAAACTGGAAATGAAATCTTGGGCCTCCCAAACTCGGGCGCGTTGGAGAACTGGAAAAATGTATCTACATTGGGTTTTTTCCTGGTTGAACACCGTGTCTAAATCTTTCTTGAAGGAGCTGAAGTGGAAACTCAACTTTTATTTTGATCTTAAGTCAGTTGCAGAAGAAACACACCGTCATGATCGCTGTTCCAGCTTACTTAGAAGGACATCGTTTTAGGGGAAAAACACATTTCCACACACAAAACCAAGAAACCTTTCTTCACCCCCAAACTCATTTATACAACCAGTCAAAAGCAACCCTTTTCAAATTTCAATTAAGATGCTGATTGATTAGCAATTTCCTTCCCCAATAACAGCATATAATAATGATCTACCACATAATTGTCTTTAATTACCCAACGCATTGACTCGCTGAAGGAAAACAGTCATTTGTAGCCCAAATTAAAGACTCAGCCACATCTATTTGGAGCTTGGTTGAAACTCAAGTTTCCCTTCTAAAGTAACAATTTCAATGTTTGTTTGTTTTTTGTTTGTTTTAAAATGGATTCCTCCAAAGAGACCATCTTGAGTTAGAGCCTCTCCAGGGGGGGCTGTGATGAACAATCACCTGGATCCCTACAAATTGAAAGGGGGGAGTGTCCCTTTGATGAATCTTCAAGCTGAATGTAAGTGACAAATCCCTACCGATATTTTAAAGGCTCATTATCAGGCTAAGTAATCTATGACAATATAATTTCCCAGTTGCTGAAAATTACTTTCCATTGGTCCTAATGAAAGCCTTCTCTAGTCTCCCCCTCCCTTCCCCCGTCAACTGGAACCCAGCGACAACAGGACTGTGGACCTCAGCCACAGTGGCCCAGGGGGGTCAGCCCTTCAGAGGCTGGTGGCAGGGCCCAGCCAGAAGCCATTTTTATTCTTTACACATCCCTTCACCTGTGTCCCTGCAGAGAGCAGGAACAAGCCTATTGCTCCACCTGACTGCAGGTGGCTCCCTCGCTGCCTCCACCCTTAAACCAGGAGGACAGGGAGGGTGGACTATTCTCCATGCTTCTGAGAAAAGTCAGAATTGCTGGCACCGTTTAGGAGGCCCGTGCTTGCAATAGAATCATCCTCTTCATGAACCAGTTATGAAACCTCTGCCCTGGCCGGCTTGATTCTGTTGCCGTCCCAGAATTCCAGGTAAAAGGCATCGGGCGGATTATTTTCAGTTTAAGTCTGGTGCCAACAGGAGAAGGAAACTTCTCTCTCTCTCTTCTAAAAAGAGGGATCCAGAGATCACTTTGTTCCAAATAAGACTGAAAAGAAGTGACGTCTAATATTCTAAAGAAGGGGATGAGATGTGGAGCTGCCTTTCCAAAGTTGGTCTTCCTAGGCCGTGGCCCCAAGGGGGAAACAAACAAACAAAAACACCCAAGACAGAGGGAGAGAGAGCAAGAGAGAGGATAAATCGACAATTTATTGTGCGCAACCCCTGATCAATTATTAATCGTTAGTGTCAACAACAGGGTTATAATTACTTTCCGTTACTGGAAGGGCTATTTCGCCTGTTTCTGCAGTCTGGTAATTGTTTGATGCAGCGGAAAAGTCAGGAAGAGCAGCTTAGACCAGACCGATCCCTCCACGTCTTCTGCGTGCTGGTCCACTCTAAGAAGGCGGGCCCGCACTTCCTAGGAGCTCAGAAATTTCCCGCCCACCTCCCTCCTAGCAAAAGCCACTTTTCCTTTCCTTCTTTTGACCCTAAATAATGATCGCCCAGAAAAAGGAGAAAATTGACAAACAAATAGACCACAGCTGGAATGAATAAAACTGATCAAAGGGAGAGGACCACGCCGCTCCTGGCAGCC